ATGTTTAAAATCATCTTGCTTGTATTCATGCCAAAGGTGAAAAGCTGCTGCTTTTTGTGCTACCAAAATGTGATAAATATGACATTTATGACATGTCACCTTTGTTTAGTGGATCGATTCCTTACACTTCAGTCCCCATTCCAGTTATGGATTTCCTGTCTGTTCAGTGACCAATCTAGAAGCATCTGAATTATTTTCCATTTCTCAGCCTGCATCTTGGCGGACATTACAACCTATTTCAACGCTTTCCCAAATTAGAGATGACTCAACCTTTTTTTTGTTTTTGTTTTTTTCCCTCCCAAGTCCATTTTCATTCTCTAATCTAATGCAGCAATTGTATTTTTGGCAGGAAATGAGAGTGGAATAGCAGCCGGCTGTTAATTTTGAGTAAACGCTGCTGAAGCGATGGCTGAACACACTGACCAGCCGCACTTTTATTAATCAGAAAACTACTCAGTCGATGAGACGCACTTTTGTTGATCAAGCATTGTCACGGAACAATATGTAAGCCTTTGTACAGATTACACGTCCTGCCTGCGTATTTGGTTATCCATGTACTAAAGAGTGCAAACACACTGCTACTTTGTCAAGTTCTCATCTCAAGGAGAATTGTTGAGTGGTCGTATGACAGAAAACAGCAGGTGGTGCTTGTTCAGAAAAATGTGGCTTCAAATGATGGCGCCCCGCTACATGAAAAATATGGTTTGGAGACCACCTGCTTCTCCCAGCATCGGGACAATGGAAGCGGTGATTTATGAATAGTCTTTAAACTTATTTGGAGGCCTGAAACCAGGGCAGTAGTGCTGATGTCATTGCGGTGGGATAAACATTATGAATTGTTTTGAATCATGGCTTTTCTGCTATGCTAACTAGGTCAAGTCGCCCAACCAAAATGTGTAGTTGATAGAAGTTGCAAGCTTGGAGGTCCTTAAACACACCACTGACTGACTCATACATTATTGATAAAAATATAAAAAGTTTGCAGGCTGCCAATCATCTCATGTAATGGCTGTCAGCTGGAGGTGCATGTAGCACAACGCTGTGAAAATGCCAAGCCGAACACTTTGTATAAATCGTCTAAATTGCTTGGAAATGTCACGGGCTGCTGGAACGATGCTGCAGATGTTGAGTAAAGTTATTTGAAAGAACAGAGGGGTATTGTTGCTCTGACTGGCTTGTGCGCATGAAAGAGTTATGAGTAAGGGAGACCTGGGGCAGCTGTAACACTTTAAACATTTTCCATCCTCAGTAGACAAATCTACCTGCCATCTTCTGGTGGAGGATGGCATTTGAAACCAGAGCCGTAGCCGTTAATAGACTTGTAATAAGGAAAACTAGATCGTAAAATCTAATTTAATAGGCGTCAGAGTGTTTCAGTGAATGCTGGTAATTATATTAACACACTGTAAGTGAAATAGAGCATGGTAATGTCATTGCTTTGATACCTACTGATATTACAGAATGTTGAATGCATTTTAAGCAAAGGATAATTGATTTTAATTGCTTGAAATCACTTGAATATATTTTATAAATTGCATATAATATGAACTATGTCTTACTAATTTAACATTTGATCGATACACTGGATTAGATTTTAAAGTTATGATATTCATTCACATCCTTTTAAAAAAAAAAATTGTAACATCTAAACTGGGGTCCATTGTTTGTACATGGATTAATTAATTAGCTGGATTTGGTTATTTCATTTTTCAAAAATCCGAGAGTTGTTGTCTTAGCAACAGTTGTGGCAGCTCAAACCTGCTCGGGAGCAGGTTTATTTTATATAAACAGGATTAGATCTGATCTTTTCAAGCAACGTTAATACTGGAAGTATGTACTGAATGCTGATATTTTCTTACACTGTAAAAAAATCTGTGATTTTTACGATTTATTTTCGGCAGCAGGGGTGCCGGAAAAATACGAAAAATAACGGCTGTTAAATTACAGAAATTTACTGTAAAATAACAAGTTGAATTACAGAAAATTACCAGAATTTTAAATTTAAAGGAAATTTAATTCCCCAGCTGCTGGAAATAAATAGGGATGTCCCGATACAACATTTTAACATCCGATACGATACCGATATTGCAGCCTTCAGTACGAACCGATACCGATATAAATCAGAAATCAGCACAAATCATGATTACTTCTTTTTTACCTATTTTGTTAAGTGGAATGTATAAACTGCTAAATCAAACTGAGAACAAAAGTCAGCAACAGTTAGTATTGATTAAATATTGGTTGCATTAATGTGAACCTTTTACATAAGAATATATATTAAAGAATAATTATTAAGACCCTGAAAAATATCTTAATTGAATAAACAAATATATATATATATATATATATA